CGCGACCCGACCCCGGATAAGCGGTGGAAAATGGATGGATGGATGGATGGATGGATGGATGGATTTCACGATACATTCTTCACAATAAAAGTCCTCCGTTTTTATTTAAAAGCTTTTGTTTTGAAGCAGCAAAATCAGGAAATGCTGTGTTTTCATCAGCAGCCTTCTGCCCTAATCATGTGTGGGGGGAAGATGATGGAGACATGCATTTGAGAAATTGTCCACATGCTGTCCTCACCTCCCTGAGATCAGAACTCAATGTGAGCCGGGCCACCTCGGCATGTGGTCTGGCTGATCGGATCCCAATGCGAGCAAGATCTGGTCTCTGAGTGTACAGACATGATATTTAATGCGTCCTGGTATGATCATCTGACAATAGTCACATTGAAAAGACAAGTGTAGCCTGTGAGATGAAAATCAAAGCCCCAATACAGAGAGAACTGTTCTCTGCACGCACGCACACCTGAGGGAACCGTTGACTTGGACACGGAGACAGACGGCAGGTGCTGTGTTTGCACACACATTGTTTTGAAGTTGTGAAAGAGTCTGATGATGACAAGAGTCACGGTGTAGTTTTAATTACTTCTGCAGCGGCATAGACTCATAAAGGGACATGCTCACTAACGACAGAGGAAAAAGATGGGAGGGAGGAAAGGCAGAGAGATTTTGGGGGAAAAGGCTTCTGTGCTACTGTTGCGGTTCTCACAGGTTCACCTAATGTGAAACATACGAGTGCGTCATGCTTACATGTTGGATGATTTGTGGGTGTGACAATCTCTACAATGCGTTTCTGACACGTTGTTGAACGCCACCATTTTGCAAGTGCGTGAGTGCATGTACATGTTATGTACCAGTACATAACATTCCTCTAAAGTCACAAGTGGTCTGTCTCTCTCTGTCTCTCTCTCTCTCTCACACACACACACTCCCTATTAACGTCAATGAAGTGGACTGTGAGCCACTACAACATCCAGAGAGAATGAAACTGTAGATATTTAAGGAATGCTTACATAGAATCCATCTGTCAAAGGAGTCTATTTGAATTGATTTCCATGTCATTAGCAGAACATGATATTTTAGCATCATATTACAGCAGCTACCATCCTACAGGTTACATTCCAGTGTATGTCTGGCAAACACACACACACACACCCTTCATTGACTAACGCTTCATGTCGTTCCTCGGTTTAGCTTTATTGTGAAGTTATATGGCACATATAAGTGCACATTCCATATTGAACAGGTCAGAGATGAAACGTGTTGGCGAACGAAAACATCCGATCTGTGTGGAGCGATGGAGAATGTAACGTTCCTCAAATTAATGCATGCAATAAACAGAAATGACATACTTCCATCATGTTTTCGACATTGTTTTCCACCATTTGAGGTTTGACTGGCGCTCTTTTAAGACATCATCTTTTTGTGTCCTCTACCTGTGTGGGTTTTATGGCATCGACTGGAGAATTAGAGTCACGCATTATTTCACATTTTCGATTTGCAACGTTAACCATGTGGCATTCTGTGTTTCTGCAACCGTGATACGAAGCCGATATGAAACATTTTGTTCGCTATTCAACGAATCTCGTAGTTTGCAGAAACGTACGATGCCAACATTTATTTCTAGAGATATTTAAACTCAGAAACAGAAACTCGTTCCCAACCTGAAGGGTCGCCCTCCACCTTTTTCCGGCGGAGTATCATGACCTAAGCTGCTACACGTTCAGCTGCAAACCGCCAATGAAGCAGGACTACCTCAGACACAATCCTGGGGTCACCAAACTGGACAATCTGCACTGAGCTACACATCCTGATCACAAAGATCACAAACTGAACAGGAGACAAGGGACAGCATGGGCAAACTTGTACTGAGAACTCTCTTTGTATGAAAATTGATGATATGAGGCCAATTGTTAGCGGTTATGTCAACCAGGCATAATTGTTAATGAATGGACTAGAACATTCAAACCAACTATAGTATATTTGCATCCTTCTGTTTTCAGGACACATGGCAAAAAGGAGAACATGAACCTCTTCCTCATGGGATCCTGACTGGAGAGATCATAACTCGCAGCGTGCTTCATGCAGGTATGCACTCAGGAACATACACACATGTCATGGCTCTGTGAAGTTTAATCAAGAGCTATTCTGAAAAGTGTTTCCTAAAGTAACACCCCCTGTATACACACTCAGCACAGGAGGCAGCGTAACAATAGATTCATACACTCTTTATGTGCACACAAACACACAGAGCTCTGAGACAGAGGTCTCCTTTGGGTCTGAATACTGTGTGCAAAGCTGACAGGTGTGTGTGTGTGTGTGTGTGTGTGTGTGTGTGTGTGTGTGTGTGTGTGTGTGTGTGTGTGTGTGTGTGTGTGTGTGTGTGTGTGTGTGTGTGTGTGAGATCCACAGAGACAGAATGATGCAGTGAGTATGAGCGCTTACTCAGGCAGGGATCTCCTGATGATGCTGTGAACTTGTTTGTAGACGTCCAGTTTGGACAGACAGCTGCACTGCGTGTGGTTAGCCACACTGATGGTCACCGGCTTGGTGCCTTGGGTGATCAGCACTGTGATCTCAAACAGCTGCAGAAAGAGCAAAAGAGAGAAGAGTCAGAGGAAGATAGTGCACTTTTTGTATGTTTCGCAAGGTGAGCAGGACAGGTTGCCTCTTAGGGCTCCACAAGTTCCTAAAATAATCCAGTTCACCATACAACATAAGTGTGGACTTTTCATGATCAGAAATTCTTGTTTTCTGTCCCACCATTGTACATCCGACATTAATCTTGTTGCCATATTCAGATAGCTGTGGATAAAGTGTTGCCTACAGGTTGAAGAATGTATAATAAAAGTGAAGCAGAACAACACATTCTCACTCCCATCTCGTCATATATGGCAGCTTGGTCAGTGACCCTACGATTCAAACTATGATGCTTCAGGTTCCCATCTAGTGTCACTTCTGGACGAGTCAGGGACAACGTGTCAGTTTCCCCTCTGCATGCATAGTGCCTTTGTAAAATAAACTACCAACATAGGTTTACTTAGTTTTTAGGTTTATTTAAGCAATAAAAGTACTTGTTTATGTTTTGGAAAATATTGTGTTTTGGGTTAAAATAATTAACTTTGTTGCGTAAAATAAATATCTTTGTTACGTAGCTGGTGTTATTTAAGTACATATGTAACATAACAAAAGTTAAGATAAGTCATGCTTGAATTTTGGTTTCACACGGGACACAAACGGCGGTCTAGATGTTTAACTTTCTTTACCAGGACTCCGGTCCAATGATAATATTCTCCATGTCAGCTGGATGTAAAACCTTGATAAGATGATAATGTCTGTGGCATATACATGTCATAACTAAATATATTTAAAATTCCTTTTGTGAAAGTTCTGAATGCCACTTCATCCCATTCAACTGGCCTCAACTTTGAATTCAGTCAATAAAGGTAGTCCATCACAAAAAGGCACTATTTCACACATTCCTTTAACAAGGACCCTTCAACATGGAGCCTTCAACTTGGAGTTCAACCTGATGCTGGAATCACTGGGAAAAGGAGCACATTTCAAAATGAATACAATACGTGAGAATGTGAAGGATTACCACTTGAAGATCAGAACGTGTAAAAAGGAGCTGGGCTTGGTTATTTGGTTATTTCACATGGCACTGATGAAGATACTTACAGGCTGCTGTACAGAATAGAAGAGAAACCCTGAGAGCCACTTCATTCTTTCAATCATGGAGTTGAACAGCATGAATAGAAACTAATTAGTCTCAATGACTCCTATTCAAGCCTCTTAAGCAGCTTAAACTGTCTCTCTCCCTCTCATCCTAATGAGGATATCATTAAAGCTGACCTCAGTCTTTTTGACCTGGTAGAGAGCTCACCATGGTTACAGAAGACACACGCATACAAAATAAATCTTTGAGATCACCATGACCACCACTGGGTTGAAAAGTTCACCTGGACACATTTCTTAAATTTGTGGTTGGCTTGAAAGTCTATGAAATTCTTCATACTTACGCTTCCTCTCTTTGACTAGAACCAAGGCTCTGGTGTTTTGAGGCATCAATTTCCTGCAGAGGATGGAACTCCTCCACACTGCTCAAGTGTCTTTTAATAAATCAAAAAATTCTGAGTCCCGACACAAACTGCAGTGTTGCCGTTGTTTTATCCTCTTCAAGTAGGCAGAAGAAAAGAAAACATGATGAAACTTTATTGATCCTTGAAGTGGTATTAGCATATTGCTGTGTGCTGTAACACTGCACGGCACGGGAGTGCAGAGGAGCTGTTTGACTACCTCATCGACCTCTGCCAGAGATATTCTTCAAACTCTGCCTCCTCAAACTCTATCCTGCCAGTTTAGCTAATCTTGTTTTCTCCCTGAATATTTTAGTTTATCTTCCCTGATGGATTTGTTTTGTTTGTTTGTGTATCTAATGTGTAAAGTTAAATGGAAAGGGTTATTCCTCTGAGGAGCATGAACGTGCTCACTAAATTCCATGCCAGGTTGCCTGATATTGTTGGTGTATGGAAAACCTGGCCGGATGATGGTGCTGAAGGAATGGTTAGAAGGCCATTGAAAACATCAGGATTCAGTGTCTCGGGACCATGAATATGTAAAGCAAATTTCTTTGCCATCTGGCAATTAGTTGTAAAGATATCTTGCTCTGCACCGGAACGTTGGAAGGAGGGACAGACTGACATTACCATTGTTGGGCCCCATGGAGCAAAAAATAAAATATCTCTAATATAGCATGTGAGGTAACACAGCCAACTGTGACAACACCAGAACACATAAGTCACAATATAGAAGAGGGAAAGACGGAACAAACCAGAGGGTTAAAGAAAAGGTTTTACACTTTAGAGTGAAGATAGATGACAGCGCAGGTGTTGAGCTAAACCCTTATGCAGAGACCAGACAGACATAAATGCTTAAAGATACTGACAGTCAGTCAAATTGTAAATTATACAGTTTAGCAAACTTCTATTACCTGCTAAGTGTCAGAAACTCAACGAGTGCCAGCTGCTTCAAGGAACTGCCAAAGTAAATCAGCACAATGAAACTTTCAGGATGACGAAACAAACCACAGAACGCTCTTTAAAGAAACAGCCACATTTGACTCTTCACCTCTCCTTACATCCATTTTGAGATAATCTAATATTCAAGAAGTCATTACCATTCAGTTAAACTGTAAATCTAGTCTACCATCATTCGAATGACGTACTATAAAGCCTATGTAAATCTCAAACTCTGGCCAGTACTCTGAGATTGCAGCCAAAAATAGCAGTTTGGAAAAACCGGCAGAGTAAAAGAATGTGTTGTGAAACCTCAAGGAGACTCCCAGCTTTGTTACTGCTGCCAGGCCAAAGCCTCTCAGCCTCGAGCTTGGCGTAATTTTTTCTTGCCTAAACTAAAGGGTGGCATGCTGCGCAAAGTTTCTTAAACCTTTAGTCCAAGAATCATTCAAACACCGTTGTCCAATTTTCAAAATGTGCTACAAGGCTGACTTTTTAGTCTGCTGTTTAACTGACTCTTTGAAGATGTTTGCTTTTCCAATGACAATGCTATGCTCGTTCTGTAGGGGACAAAACAACAATACAAAATCAATTTCAGCCACCAACTTAGCAGTGAATAGGGCTGGACCCAAATATTCAACCACCATTTGTGGGTATTCAGTTTTTAACTTGGATACATAAACATAATGCATAAAACACACCAAACCTTTTGGAAAATGTGTCTTATTCAATACAAATCAACAATACAGACAACAATACTTTAGAATAACAGAATCCTTAAATAATGAATGACTTAAATTAAACCAAAAGACTAACGTTGCAGCGATATGCCGTTTATCTCAGCCGAGAGAAATGTGCGGCTGAGTCCGTCCCGAGTCATGGAGACGAGCCATGCCAGAGCCAGCGCCACCGCTGCTTATATCGGAGTACAACCCAAACAGGGCTCAGGCTAAAAGAGCTGAGCAGAAGCCTCTAGAGGCTGCATCATGCAGGGGCTTGCAGTCGGGCTCTGCTGGAGAGGCGGTGCGTAATGCCCGGAGACATCAGCCTCAAGACACCACTGTTCTGTGGGAGAGGGTAAACGTGTCTTT